TACGCAGAGAGCAGATGTCCGTAATTGTATTTACGTGTACTGAAAATAAAGGGGCAATTTGTGTTTACTGGTTCAGTAGACACTCATACATGAATGTACACATACATACAAATTTACACACACATACACACATACACTAATCCACATAGATGCAGACATTGAGAAAATATTTTTTAATTATTTAAATCTAAACAGTAAAGGAAGCTTGACTTCTCCTAGAACTATTTATAGTCATGCTGAAAGAAATGTATAAAGCAAGTCAGAGATGTATCTTAGAACCTCTGCTTTGAAGTACATACTCCAAAAAAGGAAAAAAAAAACCCCACGGACTGCAAACGAAAAGTAATATTACTATATTAATACACCACAAAAAGAAAAAAAAAAGTATCAACTCTGAGAAAAAAATCCAACAAGAATCTGATTTACACTGTGAAACTTATCACCAAACCAAGAACAATCAAAACCTGTTGCATAAATATATCCCAGCAGTAGTTTACAAATATTTGCAGAATTTAATTCATAAAGAAACAAGCAGAAGTAATGTGGCATGATGAAACTAATCACTTACAGAGTCAACGAGGTAGGTCAAGGGGTAAAAGTCCTACCATCGAGCCTGATGACCTGACACGGATCCAGGACCCAGTTGGTGGACAAAGAGAACCAACATTCTATAGGTTGTCTTCTGACCCATTCGTGCCATGCTGTATCTCCACAGAGCACAGATAAATTAATACATGAGCAAATATTGTTTTAAGAACCACGAACAATGATTTCAGATAGATGTCAGAGAGTATTTAGCATGTTGTGTGCACAGTAAATACTAGATCATGAAAGCCAGTGCAGTGTAAGAAATAGAAACATCATTTTCTTCTATAGCTAGTTGACATGAATAAATATGAGAGTATTGAGCGAATCGATTTTGTTAATGTGGAGAGAGTATCAATTAATACATTTCACACTGTTAAACTTCCCGTGCAAGCAAAAATATAATTTAAAAAAATGTGACATGAAATTCTAAAGACAGAGTTGTGCTCTTGAGAGAGCCTGTACAGCCATAGTCGATTCAGAACTACGCTTGTGGAAAATGTTTCTATAAAGCAGATGTTGGATCTAAGTGGTGCTTCTAGTGGAAGCAACAAGATTCCTCGGAGACCGGCTGAACCTAGGACTGTGGCAAGGAAGTAAGAACACTCTCAGCTGCTGATTACACAACGACTTGAACCCCAAATACATGGCAATGATATTGGATTATAAGGGCAAGAATAAGGACATGTACGAGTCCACGACAATAAAAATGATTAGTTGAACAAATAATGCCTGGGAGGAAGGGAAATATTGTAAAATGTTCCTACTCTTAGCAGTCTAACTTAAATTAGACTATCCAAAGTTGAAGAATTAAATATCCAATGATGCTTGTGTGTTAATTATGGCATTAATATGATAAACGAATATCAAAAGAGCAGTTTCTATTTTGCTAAATTCGTTTACAATCATTAAAAACTCATTTCCATGAAACATTTATGAGAGAATACTGATTTGTAAGACGTAAAAACATACATTTTATTTATGATGGTTATTCCAGTTTATTTAAAATACATTTGTGAGTATGTGGATGTGTCTGCTTATAAGCAGAAAACTGTTCTAAATATTTAGATCTGGTTGAAATAAACTCACCAGGCATAGGCAATCCTATCTGCTCTTTTTAAACAAACTCTACAATGTATTGCCTTTGCTCAAGTGATTACTAGGGATAAATTATGGAAAAGTAGGCACATGTCTCAACTCTCCTCATCAATAATAATTTGCACTACAGCATAGACCTAATACATATCTTTACTTGCCTTTTTTTAATCAGTTCAAATTGCGATAGAAGTGCTATCTGCCTCCATCAAAGAGGCAGCATATAAATTGATAGAAAGTAAAGGCACCTTAATTAACCAACTGATTTAGTTAACTAAAATCATTCTACCAAAGCAGTATCACCCAAAATTTATTTAAGTATTATTAAGTACAGAATTACTTGCAAGATACATATTTATATGTTAAGAAGATTATAAAGACTGTATCATTTTTTATATTAATGGCCTCCTTGAAACATACTCTCTGTGTAATATTGACCAGAAGGTAAAATGTTAACAAAATCTTTGACTTTGAAATTATTTGACATCATATTCTACATTAAGCAACTTTTCACAGTACTTTAAATAGTACCATTTAAGGAATTTTATAACAAACAAAGTAATGCAAAACAAAAGTATTTGTATAATCAGGTGATAATAAGGAAAATATAAAACCAGTTATCTCACATTATACTTGACTACAGTTATCCCAGAGGGTGATCAGATTGTGACTCTACAGGAATTTGTACAAATTCATTTATGATTTTATGTATATAGTTGTTTTGCTTGTACATATGTTTGCACATCTGGTGCCACTGGAGACCAGAAGAGAGTGTCATCCTCTGGGAATGGAGTCACAGATAGTTGTGAGTTGCCATGTTGTTTCTGAGAACTGAAGTCCGATCCCCTTGAAAAGCAGTCAGTGCTCTTAGCCACTGAGCCATCTCTCCGGCTTCATTTTAGTTTTTAAAAGTGTAATATTAATTCAGGAACATTGATATGGCTAAATACCATATGTGAAAGAGTTGTGTCATTTCAAATATTTTGGAGCTTTATTTGCGTCTCTGGGCTGTTTGAAGGGCTTCAACACACACCAAAATTAGATCTCCATTATTTCTACTGTAAATGACTTGCAGTGAAAATCCCTCAAGAGACAGCTTGATTCAGTCTGTATCTTTGATCTTTGGGTTTTGCTAAACAATTCTGTTTTCTAGAACACTACTGACTCTGTCTCATACTTGCTAGCCAATGTAGGTTTAACTGAAGAAAATTAACTCAAAGCTAGGACAAGTTTCTGTTTTAATTCATGGGAAGTTTGAGACTTACTAGGTTCACTAATTTAAAGTAAGTATAGTATTACTAAATATGAAAACGTCTACATATAGAGATATTGACCCAGTGTGAGCATAAAGAACATTGTCTATTCACTTTGGGATGTAAAACAGAGGAAGATGTACCATCTACACAAGGAAATGCAAAAATGATATTACTTCCAAATAGAATTTATGGAAGGTGCTATCATTGATTCATGTGATGAGAAATAGAACTGTACATTTTTTTGAGAATATTATAATTACATCATTATCCCCTTTCCTTTCCTCTTTCCAAAGCCTCCCATAGAACCCTCTTTCAAATCGATGGCCTCTTTTTTCATTAATTTTTCATTAATTTTTGTTGATGTGTGTGTATAGGAGGCACACAAGTGGATGTGTGGGTACAGTGTACCCTTGCATGTGTCTGTATAAAACTCATTTATGTGGATATAGTCACTGATATATGCATATATGGAACACATGATGAAATGGGAGTAGGGAACTTTAAGCAAACCAATTGGGAAAACAATAATTTAAAAAAATCTATCCATCCACTGGACTTTAGCACACAGCACATATGCAGCAGATATGTAACTTGATCTTCACGATGGTCCCCCAACAACTAGAGTGGAGATTGTCCCTGACCCTGTTGTGTGCCTCTGGATCTGGTTCACCCTAACTGGGCCACCTTTTCCAGCCTCAGTGGGAGAGGATGGCCTTAGACCTGCAGTGACTTGGCTTGCCAGAGTGTGTTGGTACCAAGCAGAGACTCCCCCTTCTCAGAGAAGTGAAGGAAGAAGGGCTGTGTGAGGGAGGAACTAAGAGGAAAGATGCTACTATAGGGGTGTAAAGTGAATAAATAAATTAAATAATTAATGGAAAATATCCATTAATAATTTGTTATGACTTATTTTTTTAAACAAACAAACAAAACAGAAGACAAACAAACAAAAAATGCAAAGAATAGATTCTAGAAGTAAAAGTTAGAGAATGTCTTTTAATTCCCTCAAGCACAAGATACCCAGCAAAATCCTAGGTCAATTGTGATAGAAATTCTGGTGTTAATAAATATATGCAATATTGTTTTGTTCTTATTAACATTAACAAAATTAACAAAACTATTCATGAAGACATAAATATTATTAAAATGTTTATCATACTTGCCAGTCAAGGAACAAATATAGTAGATATTTGAATGCAGTTACCTGTCGTCTATCTATGATCTAGGTATCCAAACATGTAATATCTATTTAGCTGCCAATTCATAATCTTTTCTCCTAGATACTCACTGTATAACTCTCTACTAATACATGCATGAAGTCACATGAATATAAGTATGTCTATGTGTGTCTTTGTGTACCCATATTCCTGAAAAATACAGCATTAGGATATGATAACAGAATAATACTCAAAATCAAGCCTTCTTATATGTTTTAGAATAACAAAATGCTCTAAGAATAATGTAAAAGTTCTGCATCATACTGCACATTGTTCAAGAACTGTGGGAAGCATCAAGTTCGGAAATGTTTAAAAGTCGCTAAGAGCTAAAAGCACAGGCTTGATTGTCTCTCGATTACCATTTTTGGAACTTGTAAAAAAGATGAGACTGTTTCCCCGCTCTAAAGCAGTGGTTCTCAGCCTTCCTGACACTGCTGCTCTTAATACAGCTCTCATAGTGGTGACCTCCACCATAAAGTTATTTTTAATGCTACACCGTAACTGTAATGTTACTACTAATACGAATTGTAATGTAAATAGCAATGCTCTCTGATGCTTCTTTGGGCGTCGTGACCCACAGGTTAAGAGCCATTGCTCCAAAGGTTACACTGGCCATCTTCCAAGAAGGTTCGGATAGTAAAACAAACAAAACGAACATGGCAAGCAGCCCTGAAATCACAACTGACACAATTTGACAAATAGCCTTCCATCATCCATGCCAGAGCTGTGTCAAGTTCGGTCATTGCTCTTTCATCAAAGGTTCTATTGACTTCTCTTGTTCTATCTTGTTTGATCATGATTTCCTCATTTTCTTTACTCAGCCAGTGATTGGTGAAAAATGAGTTCTTACCCCTTGGGTGAGATGTGACGGAGTCTTCCTGGGTAGGGTCTGCGTCTCCATCCTTGCTACTGCCACCTCCAGCACCTTCTTCGTTGTGACTGTCTCTCTCGATCAGTTTGTCTACTTTAGCGATAATGCAGTTCAGGCTCTTCCCCACGTTGGCCCACACCCTATCCTGAAGACAGTATGAGAGTCACTAAGATTTTTATGACTAGATCATCATTAGCCATCTTAGAGAAGCAGCCAAAGCTACAGGCATCCAAGCATTGAGGGAGCAGCTACAGTATCTTACTATTTGGGTCAGACATCAGATACAGATATCTCCCAGATCCATTAATCTGCTAAAGTCAAAGTTAAGTTTCATTAATTCTTTAGTTAATATGTTTGAAATAATAAAGTACTATATGATTTTAACCAATAATTGAGCATGCATTATGACAGCTTGCTAGAGATATGTCTTCTGTATCCGCATAATAAAACAGCAAAGATACAATAATATTTTTAAAGAATTGCTGTCACTAACATCAGGAATTTTTCATCGTTGTATCAACATTTGTACAACAGACAAACCTGGTAGACTTAGGAATACATCATCACCAATACTCTCTTTCTTGCATAACTGCCACCAACATCTAATATCCCCCCCCCGTTGACAAACCTCCCTTCCCCCATTCTCAACACACTTCTGACATCCAGAGCCGTAGATCTTCTGTTCACCATGCACTGTTTGATGAGATGCAGCTACATAACTCACATCATCTCAGAGATTATTTTCTGTGAAACACCTCATGTCACTAAAGGGCCTCTTTGTCTCTGGTGTCACCAGTTCTGACAAGCTTGTACTTTTTAGACTCATCGATTCATAAAAGCTACATTAATTTTTAAATAAATATTTTAAGCATAGTTACTTTGATAGAGGAGACAAGTTTCCCTTCTTACTGTTCTTCCTACATAAGTCAGACACATAGCTCAGGCACTGGTGAGAGCAATGCTTCCATCTCCCTACAGATACGAATGGGGGATTTGAGGCATTTTCCATGCAGAGAGGACTCGTTCAGGGGCTACCTCCTCTAGGACTGAGCTATTTCAGATACCTGGAATGGCTGATTAGCATAAAGTGAATACAGAATTCTAGAATACTATCACTGGTTTACTTATTTCCTTAAAGTGTGCATTTTTTCATCTAAGTTAATTTTGTAGAAAACTTATTTGGAAGAGGACAAATCTAAAAGGAAAAACCTGTATCAGAATTGAGATTATTGGATTGTTCTCTTGTAAACGTTTAGTTGAAGAGTCTATCCTCGTGTGTATGTACACGTTTGTTCAGTATAACTGAGAAGGTAACAGAATTTCCGATCAAAGAGGCACAAAGTAAGGAAAAGTGATTTTGAGGATTTGTGAAACACATAAATGTGAGACTGTTGGAAGAGCACCTCATTTCCGAGAGCTCACTTACAATCTGAATCTGGGATGACAATTCTGCTCTACCTCCTTCAGCACGGGGCGGTCAGAGCTGACTGAGGCACTGTGGCTTGTGTGAAAGCATTTTGGGGAGTTATTAGCAGGACCACTGACAGCCTTGATCGCTTTCCTTAGTGAGTTAGTCTTGCTTCTTGTCACCCTACAATCTCGCCTGGGAAGTGTGCTACAAGTGTGCTATTAATCATAAGTAATCACAACAATCTTTTCACAAGAGGCAACTCTTTCCTTCACAACACGGAGAAGACTTCCTCTCTCAGGAAAATTAAGACACTAATCAAATCTGTGGATTGCATCATCCTCTGCTGCTTCCTGGGGAAATGGGGTGCAGATGCCCTGCACTGAGTGTGGGCTAGAGAATATAAGAAATACCCAGCAATTATAAATAAGGCTGCTATGAACATAGTGGAGCATGTGTCCTTATTATATGTTGGAGTATCTTTTGGATATATTCCCAGGAGTGATATAGCTGGGTCCTCAGGTAATATCATGTCCAATTTTCTGAGGAACTGCCAGACTGACTTCCAGAGTGATTGTATCAGCTTGCAATCCCACCAACAATGAAGGAGCGTTCCTCTTTTTCCACATCCTTGTCAGAATCTGCTATCACCTGAGTTTTTGATCTTAGCCATTCTGACTGGTGTGAAGTAGAATCTTGGGGTTGTTTTGATTTGCATTTCCCTGATGACTAAGGGTGTCGAACATTTCTTTAGGTACTTCTCAGCCATTCACATATCCTCAGTTGATAATCCTTTGCTTAGCTCTGTACCCCATTTTTATTAGGGTAATTTTATTGTCTGGAGTCTAATTTCTTCTGTTCTTTGTATACCTCAGGCAAATGGATGGAACTAGAAAATATCATCCTGAGTGAGGTAACCCAATCACAAATGAATGCACATGGTATGTACTCACTGACAAGTGGATATGAGCCCAAAAGCTCACAATACTCAAGATACAAGTCACAGACCGCATGAAGCTCATGAAGAAGGAAGACCAAAGTGTGAGTGCTTTGGTCCTTCTTAGAAGGAGTAACAAAGTATTCATGGAGGCAAATATGGAGACAAAGTATGGAACAGAGACTGAAGGAGGAGCTGTCCAGAAACTGCCTCACCTGGCAATCCATCTCATGTGCAGTCACCAAAGGCAGACACAGTTGTCGATATCAGGAAGTGCATGCTGACAGGAGCCTGATATAGCTGTCTCCTGAGAGGCTTTGCTAGAGCCTGACATGTACAGAGGCAGATGCTCACAACTAACCATTCAACTGATCACAGGGTTCCAAATGGAGGAGTTAGAGAGAAGACTGAAGGAGCTGAAGGGGGTTGCAGCCTTATGGGGAGAGCAACAATACCAACCAACCAGAGCTCCCAGTTTCTAAACCCGCCAGCCTGGGAGCACACAGGGAGGGACCCATGGCTCCAGCTGTATATGTAGGGGAGGATGACAGTGTCGAGCATCTATGGGAGAGGAGGTTCTTGTTCCTGTGAAAACTGGATGCCTCAGTGTAGGGGAATTCGAGGGCAGGGAGGTGGGGGGGGCATACCCTCATAGAAGCAGGAGGAGGAGGAAAAATAAATAAGCAGCTGTAAAGCCAGTCTTTGTTCAGTTTTGGATTCAGTAGGGAACTCATCTACCACTCACAATGACTAACTCAATGACTTCTATTCTAAACAGAATAGAATAGGCCTTAACTGCTGCCATCAACTTTTTCTGTAAAATAAAAAAAATTAAAGAATGAAGCAATCCTTTAGTGGAACCTGGGAATAAACTCTATTACTGAGATGTAAACAAAGAACAGATTCTTCTCAAATTTTCAGAATAGCTTCAAATGGAAGACAGATTTTCAATTTCCTTCCGGCTGCCCACATTGAAAGTATATGTTTTGTCCTTAGAGGATTCATGCTCCTTTTTTTATATATATAAATAGCAGAGAAGATCTCATTCCTCTTAATTCTATTTCTGAAAGGCCAGAACATGAAAACGGATAGAAAATGAATTGATATCCCCATTTTTCTATTGTTCTTCATTTGCATATACTAAGATTACAGAATTCCATTGATAAAGAACTTGACTTCAGTTATAAGCGGAGGCACTGTTATTGGTCTGAGGAGCTTACTCACTGACCAAGGCCCTCAGGAATGCAGTACATGTGACAAATAGAAGGCACATATGTAGTTATTCATGTTCAGAGTACATTTCCTGAGACTGTGGAATGATCTGTCTCTTGTGCAGTCCTTATATGTAATGAGTGGATAACCAAACTTTTATTAGAACACACTCGCAGATCCCGAGCAGATACATTCCATTCTTCATCTGTGGAAGAGAACCCGTCTCACTGAAGTTGGGGAAACTCAGTGCTCTGCTCATTACTCCCTCCTCTTCCTGGTCTCTACAGATTAAACTTAATGATTTGTGCCTGCCTCTAATGCCAGACTGTAAATTCTTTGAGAGTTCTGCCTTCACACTATGGGACAGGGACTATCCCTCAACCGATTGTTTTGGAAGTAAGAAAGGGAATGAAAAGACAGAAGGAAACAAGATGGGGTGGCTAGTGTCTATATTCTCTTAGCATCCAGACACTTGTTAATTTCAATGTTAAAAGCTTTCAGATACTGACTCAGTTTACTGAGAGAACTTTAGATAAGAGAGGAATAGTAACATTCACCATAAATGTGCCAGAAATGAACTAGAACTTCATCTTTCTTGACTCCAAGGATTTGATTCCTCCAATGAGTTTCCAGATATTGATGGCACACTGTAATGCATAGAACAGTCAGGAGAAGAGGCTCCTGTGCAGGTCCAAAGAGACAAACATCATACATAGTGCTAAGGTTAGCTTTCAAGTATCTGAAATCAAGTATAAGAGGCCAAGAGATGCCATACTAAAATACATTTGACAAAGGCAGGCTAGTCACACACAGTCTGATACAAATGGTATCAGGGAAGCAAGACTGAGAAAAGCTCTTTCACAAATGTCCATCAGGCAACTTTAACAAACTCAAATGGCTTGGATAATAGAGGGAAAGGTTAGGCCCCAGGTCTGTTTCATAAATGGGGTGTTCAGAAGAGCAAGGAGAACAGGGACAAAAAGATGATAATTCAATTATGAAGCAGCTCTAGGCAGTCATTTTAACAGCAGGATACTAAAGACTTCTTGGGAAGATTCTTAAAAGGAATCCTTGGGCATCTGAGTTTTCTTTGAAAGGAGCCCATTCATTTAGATCTGAAAACATGCATAGAAGACACTGACCAACAAACATACCTTCTTATTCTGATAGCTATTGTCATGCCAGTCTGTGAGCAAGGCTCATTCAACTTATATTGCTGATGTTAACGGGCCGCTCCTTTCTACTCTCTACTGCAATCACGCTGCATTTCAGTCTGTTTTCAGGTTGAAGAAAGACTGTCTAGTGGTTCATGCGAAGATGCACAAAGGATAGAGATTTATGAAAAGATACAGGAAGGATAGCTATGTGACACTAATCCACTCTCTTCATGCCAGAGATACTAAATGAAACTCAAATTCTGTGTAGTTCTCCTGTGCCCAGAGAAGTGTTAATACAAGTACTCCCTATCAGAGAGACAGATTGGAAGCCCATTCAACAGAACTAGTAGCAATTACCCTACTGTGCAGAAGCAATGGAAGGGTGGTGGGTTACAGTCTAACCCTTATTAAATGGAGCCTGAGCACTAATT